CTTCCCTAAGTTTTGATTAGTCTCCGGACAGCCAACTATGGATGAGCATTTCACATAATATAATCGGCCTATTTCGAAGCACACACAACCACATGTACACACAGTCCGCTTGGAACCATAAAACCCTAAACTCTAAAACCATAGGACCGTAGCTATCATTCCCCCATAGTGTTTTGATGAAAATATAGTTGGACATCCTATTACGTGCCAGCATACCCATTTCAGGATCCGAAATATCCCAAATTATCATCCCAAACCCTAAAACCTAATCCCTATACCCTCGCATATACCTGCTCGCTGCGCGTAACCCCAAACCTCTCGGCGACGTTCTCAGCTGTGATGCCCATATGACAGTCATTAAACGCGTCGGTCAGCCCGTCCTTTAGCATCGTATCCACTAGCTTACCATCGCCCAGGCGTGTGCCTGTGCGCAGAGACAGACAGTGTACAGTTTGGCTCATGTTCTCCATCCCCCCCGCCACTACTATGGTCGCATCTCCGCACTGAATAGCCTGCACGCCCAGGACCACTGACTTCAGGCCATAACCCACACAGCATGTTGAGACCGTACGCAGGTACCTGCAATAGAAGATATGTGGAGGGCTATAGATAGAATACTACTACAAGTAGAATATTAGAAATAACAGAATACTATAAATAGGACACTATATATAGAATACTATAGATAGAGTACTATATACGGAAGATTATAGAATAGAAGAACATTAATAGAACTAAACAGGAGAAATGATCCGTATGTAGTAAGATGGGAGTGAGATAGTTGTACGCACAGGGCTACAGACTTCAGGTCTGACACACAAAATATGTTGAGACCATACGCAGGTTCCTGCAACAAGTTTCTATAAATAGTATACTATAAATAGTATACTATAAATAAAATACCATAAATAGAACTAAACTCGTGAAAGGATCTGTATGTGGCAGGATGAGAAAGAGAGAGAAAGTTGTACGCCCAAGGCTACAGACTCCTGACCGGACCCACTCAGCATGTTGATACCATAGGTAGGTCTATGCAACAGATGATGTGAGGAACTATAAATAGAATACTATAAATAAAACTAAACTCAAAAAAGAATTGTATGTCGTATGGAGGGCGAGCACAAGATCAGCTGTCCAGAAGACTGCATGTTTAGGTCTACAGACTTCAGGCCGGACCCACACAGCATGTTAGATCGTATATATATATATATATATATATATATAGTGTATATATATATATATATATATATATATATATATATATATATATATATATATATATATATA